ATTTATGGATGAATCATTCTTCAGCACCTATGCTCGTTTTAGACGGTTGTTGAGGTCAATATGGATTAAAAATTCATCGAGAATGGTTGGGTACAATAATGGTCTTCAAAGAAAAATTATTTTAATTACAATATTAGGGTACCTTCCAAAGTTGTATTTTTTTATGGATTCATTCATGGCTTATTTTATGTAGAATATTTCAAGGAATATGAATAACCAGATTTTTACTAATTCCATCCCTAAGTAAGCAAATTAATGAAGTTATGAACATTTTGTACAATATACACATACAACATTGTTAGGTAGAGGATTTCAAAGAAAACTTATTCCATGCCATGTTAATAATTTATTTGTTACTAATTATATATATTTAACCTTCAAATATTAACACATATTTTATACGTTACACTTAATATTTATTTTAATTTAGACAAAACAAATTAATATACATATTTATTATATAAACAATTATTTTAATTTATAAAACCAAACCACATAATAAATATTTTTCATATTCTTTATGCGTATTAATCATTAAATAAGATTATATTAATAAATATTCTTCACATAAAATCCGATTCGTTGTGTATAAATATCAATACACAATTAATATCAAGAGATTCAAAACTCTCAATGCTCAATTACTACAAATTACGATCAGTATCGACACCCTCACATTGTGTTAGACTTGCACAATACCTTACAATTGGTTATGTGTCGACACCTTCACCTATTGTGAAAGGAACAAGTTCGTATCGGACTTTTGGATCATAATGTAATTTATTGAATAGTAAAATAACAATATTGGTCCCTCAACTTCTATTTGTATTTTTTAAAAATTAGTTAAATTCCTTAACAGCATGGAATACCCAATACCAATCAACTCGTGCCTTACTTTTGATTGGGATTCCAAATTCCAAACCTCTTTTATTTTTTTTTTAATCTCCTTTAAATTGTTTAATTTAAATAGGACATTAAATAACAAAAAAATATGATAACATAAATTCACAAGTCTCAACAGACACAACTAAATTCACCTCCATATCACATCTCACCTTCATATCACATAATCATTCATGGAGATTATTTTAAATATTTGAGAAAAATATTTTGAACACTTAAGAAAAACAAAGAAATTAAATACCAATTGTTCCTATATATATAATTGTTTTACATGCTAAATTTTCTCTTTATATAAGAACTTTACTTATTTCAGATGGTCGAACCCTCACTTTATGATCATCTTTAACTACTATATCAATAGTGTTTTTTACTTTAAAGTATTTTATAATTTTTTTTAAAGCTCTAAAAATAAAATTGCATTAAACAAAACCAGGGCTAGATAAGAAATTTTCCTTTAATTCTCCTTAACAATCAAAATCTATTACATAACATGAAGCTAGATTTTAGTCAAATTGGCACCTGCCCACAGGTCTAAGTAGATTCAATTACTCTTAGGCCATCAGT